TGATTAGAAGCGAGGTATTTTTGTATATTCATATGAAATATTATGGTATAAAGTATCAAAGCTGTATCGGCCCTGATCGTATCAGCTTGATTATGCCAGATGCTCCGTTGAAGCCTATCGGAAAATAAAAGCTTGACGCAGACAGTTAAAATTTTCGTACCTATATCTTCAGATGAACGAAGATGAAAAAGTACTCGTATTAGTAAAATATCTATCTATAAATGGCCATTAGAACGTACTTGCTAATTAAATGAGGATTGCCCTTTAAAATCCACCGTTATCTATTTCAGACCGATACAAATACACGTACTAGTGTACAAGAATGTGCACGTTTATGTTACTGACGACTTTGCCTTATGTAATCGGTGATTGATTAACTACAGAGAGACAGCAATGCATTTTGTTGCTGAAGTATTGCCACTTGACCGAGTCCGTAAAATATAATAGTACATGATTAGTTACAACGCACATTATCAGCCTATTCTCGAGTTTAGATAAGTATAAAACTGCCCTGTGTTCAGTATCATTCATGCATACAACAGTAGTATTTAAATGAACGAATTATTTTGTTATAGCAATTTTGAATGTGCTATATCGTGCAGACACTGAATGATTGATAAAATGTGAATGAGTCAAGCAGGATGCTGTAGCAAATGATATATCAATTGAGGGGTTGCATATATAATTTTAAAATTGAACACCTGTAATACACAAATTTGATTTACATGTTTTTGAGATTGTGAACTTTATTCTCTTTTATGGCTTTGTAACTGTTCTACTGTATGTTAATAATTTGAGTTATATGCAATAAAATTTAATCTTATTTATTCTAATTACTAGGAGAATCCAGAAAGTCCTGTAAAAATTACGCAAGGTATCGTTCACTTTCAGTCATAGCTATCATCAGCTTCTATTTACACCATCGAAATTAAAGTTCGAATTGCCCAGTAGTAACTTGATTAAATTAATTAACTAGAAGTAGATATTCACATTGAAACCCCATCCTCCGTTGTCACCCCATCTGGTAAAAAAGTTGCTTTATATTGTGGTAACTTAACTTGGGTAAGATTCATGTTAGTAAGATGTACGCGTATTTTTGAATGTAACGTAAACTTTAATATTACCACAAGATTATCTAAAGATATACACAGCCTAAACATAACTCGATAGCAGTCTAAATTTTCTTTTCATTATGTAGTGGACGTCTGATGCGGACCTAGAGGAAGCTATTCACGGTTTTGGTGTTGCAGATATGATGAGTATAAAATTTAGTGAAAATCGTGCAAATGGCCAATCGAAAGGGTAATTTTAAGGCATGAGGGCTATATTAACTTTATATTGTAACTATCAATGATATATTCTATTCTATTTATGCAGTTACTGCATTGTAGAAGTAGGATCAGGTGCATCTGCGCAAAAGATAATGGAAAATTTAACGAAGATGTAAGTTGTTATTTTAGAGGAAATTTTGATATAGAAGTTCTGATTTTGAATTTTTAATATTTTTAAAGGGAAATTCATGGCAATCGGCCGGTAGTGAATTATCATAAGGGTGGTGGCACGCAGCAATATGAAACTACTAATAGAAAAAGTAACAGTAAGCAAGAATATTTACATATTCTTTATCGAAATATATCAGCACAATTTCGCAATCTTTTGACGATTAAATTACTATGAAACAAACCACGCTTTAGACCAGTCAAGTCATGGTAGCGGTTCAAGTGGGGTAAATAATTCCAGACATAAACAGAGTTCTCAAAATGCTCCACAGCAGTCAAATATGAATCGTAATATGTCAAGAGGTAAGCATTAAACTAGCTAAAATCAATAATTCTATTCCACTTAATTTATTGTCCTCTGATAATGTTTGGGGTGCTATTACAGGCAATAACAGAAATAATCCAGTAAACAATCAACGTAGATATTCTCTGCAGCAGAATAATATGGGTCCTCCTGCAATTGCTCCGAGACATGCTCAGCCAAGTCTTATAAATATGCCACCGCCGGCACCGGCACCGGCACCTATTCGTAACGTCATGGTACTATAAATAGAATGTATTATATGTAATATGTCAAGCACATATCGTAGCAGGAATAGTAATCTTTCGATGCGTATATTTCTGATGAATGTGCTTATTTTTTAATTCCATATACGTATATAGCCACCCATGTCTATTAATAATAATCCAATGGGCGGAAATATGCAACGTATGCCAAATGTAAGAGGTCCGCCACCGGATTGGCAACAGCCACAACAGCCACAGCAGCAGCCACAACCACGCATGATGCAAAATGTTCATCATCCTCATTCAATGCAAGTGCCCAATCAGCAACATCAACCAAGTAATTATATGATCCCAAAATTTTTACATAATGATTCTTTATTGTCACTAAAATGTATCACTCTTTTAGATAATTTCATGCCTGTAACATCGAATGTCATGACACCAGGAATGCATGTCAATCCTGCATTCTTGCCCGCACAAGACGTTAGTTTCAGCGCTCTTTAATCTACTTCTGCTATATATTGTAGAAGGCTAAAGGCTTTTATTGTTATTTACAATTTTTGTTTTGATTAATATTTACGACCTTGCGCGTATTTTAGAATTTCATGCCGAAGCAAGCACCAATGCCTCAACCCAGGTAAATTTTTAAAGCAACATCATTAATTAATGATTTTCCAAAACGCTGTAAATAAACTAAAATCTGATATTCATTTAATCCTATATCTTCCTAGTCAAAGAATGGAAAATCCGCATGTTGTTCCCACATTTAATCGACAAGGTAATTTAAAATTTTTCTTGAAATTTTTATTGTATATTAAAATCGGTGAACCAATTATCACTTAGGAAATGTTTGTTTTACTAATAAATCTGTTCTACACCTAGATAATGACGCTGTATACAATGAGATCTTGCAACGTAACCAAGAAACTGCTCAAAAGGCTATTACAAGCGCTCTAGCGGATTCTAATGCAGGTAGAACAATAAGCAATACCTTCAAATATTCGGTTTAATGTAAGCTGTTAGCTTCGATGTAGTATAATGAAGATGTCTGGTTATTCAATTAGGTGATCGGAATGATGCCATTGAAACTTTGGTAACGGCCAGATCACTTATTAAAAGTTCTGTAGCTGCTAATGATGAAAGATCTAAAGTGAGTAAAGAGGATTCTAACATTGTCAAATCTCTGTAATCACGTATAAAACTTTACATAATTATTTGATATTAAAGGCGTTACTGGAAATGATACAAAGTTGTCTGAAAAACATTGAAGCAAAACAATCGGATTCCTCTAGGTATTATATTTGATATAACCTTTTAATATACGTAGAGACTCTATGGTAGAGTTATGCAGCGGACAATTGTACATGTATTATATTGCTATATTCTAAATAATGATGGGAATATCTTAAATCACGACAGTCGTAAGCATCGTCGAGATCGTGATAGCGATCGTGACCGGGACCGGGACCACAGAGAACGAAGCCCAGACAGAGATTTTGGTGATAGTATGGATCGCTATGATGAAAGACGTAGTCGACATCGACATCATCGTGATGGGAAACACGAACGAGACCACAGGAGTGATAAAGAACGTATTCGTAGTAGAGGGGACAAACGTCGATAATGTATAAAAGTAATATACAAGTAATATTTTTGATCGAACGAAAATCTAATAACATAACTGAGAACAGTTTTTGTGATAGCTTTTAAATATTATCAATGTCATACCGATACCTTTGTTTTAGTTGTACAAAGAATTTGCTTTCATAACAAAATAGAATTTTGCTAGTTGTGTAGTTGGCTATGCAGTAGTGTAAAATTATATTTTCATTTTTGTTTAATATAATATTCAAATAAAAAGGAATCGAACTAATCTCATGAGTAATCGTTATGAAAATTACGCCAGTTCGTTCTAAGATTTATTTTAAGCGGGTTTAGAAGGTACAACTTACTGGTTATTAGATCCTCCTAGTCATCACACTTTAATTGGCTACAGTAGTAAATAATAAGGGTAGTAGTTAGTCCTGTAAGATGATATCATGATTCGTTAGTTTGTGATATAAGATAACATTTGCTCAAGACGTGCCATGGCGACATTAACATTTACCCATTACATATGCAATTAAAAAACACCCCTGAGTTTGTACCACTACTGCCACCATAAGATGATCATAATAACTTTGAAATAATAAGATAAAATCCACTCTCAAAGAAACATCTAGAGCAGCATTAAGCACCCTTTCATTTTATTAATATCAATAATTTAACAAGATCATCAATTTAAAGATCTGCAATAAACGATAAGTAAGCAAAATATCGCACAGATGATACCTGTATTTGTAGAAATCATATTCTCATCTTATTTAATGGTTTACGAGAATATCAAATTTTCGAAATCTGGTCATGTAGAGATTCAAAATTTTCATATATTTTAATTTATTCCATAGAAACTATAGATAACAATCACAATGTTCTAAGATTAACCTCAGTCGTGGTTATATAATATCAATTAAAATCTGCAAAGCGATAGTGTAGCTTTCATTATAATTAGTAGAATTTTTAGGTATAAAATTTTTGTTTTTCGAAGCCGGCAGGACTCGTGAAATAAACCTTGCGGCTTACTGATACGCATTGAGAAATTTTATTACATCATGCATCAAAAGATAAAATAGATTAAAGATTGAATGAATGTTACTATTTGCTAATCATAAATATTTTGTTATATCAGCGCAACGGTGGTGTTTTGAAAAGTAAAGTGAAGTAAATGTTCACATTAAAAAAATTTGATAAAAATGTAGACTAATTAGATGCAGGAAAATCGCTTTTGGAATTAAATAATGTTAGATATGGCTAAATCCATAAACATGTAGCACCATTCTTTGCCGTTAAAATTTTATTTCATAGATTCTTCAGGTACTCGCGGTTCCAGTAGAGCAAAATTTTTATTCTACTCGGCTAACTCGAGATTGAAAGTGAATAGAGCGCAATAGCGAATTAGGAAGCCAGGCTGAGAAACAGGGCTTTCTTAGAATAATATTCATTGAAACGTGTAATACCATACCTATTGTTGATAAAATATTCATTTGGTAATGAAAGCATCAAATTATGTGCATAATAATTAAATTTATATTGAGTATTAGAGCACTTACTGCAGAAAATCAAAATCAATAAGTGAATTTTTAGCTTGAATTAAGCTCCAAATTCCCCATAAATAGTGTGAGGCCTAAATTGTACATGATTGTAAATTCATATTATTAGATTATAAACTAATCACTTGAATACAATTCAATAGCTTAAAAATAATGAGTACCAAAGCAAATTGGTTCACTTGAACATAAAGCTGGTGAATTTGTGATTGTGTAATTGTCTCATCTTTACCTAATGAGAAAGTAAAACAATCTTGAATTTTAAGATCATTAAGTTTAACTAGCTATTCAAGTTTGACTCAGAATGAAATTAAATTTCTTTGTAATTTGAAGTGCGATTACAGTCGAAATTGCTTATTGGAAGATGTAGTAGAAGTATTCTATCGCCAATAAGCGAATTGCTCTATCATGAAGTAATATTTTAAATTTCATTATTATTTTATGACTAGTGCAATACAAGGGTCACAATTTACCAGCAAGCTTAGCTCGTTCTTGCAAATAAATCGATAGCCATTGCAATTGAAATTCTTTTTGAGGATACCGATTGTAATCTACTTCATCGACACCTTTAACGTTAAAATACATATGGAATTACAACATCGCATACATCATGTTATTGTGTAGAGTCCAATACCTGAGCACTATTGTAAGTAGCGACTATTAATTTTCAATTATTTAATATTATTTTACCTGCAAATTCACAGAAATGATCTGCAATGTCATAGGGTGCGTAGTTAAAGCCACCGTATTCGTAATCAATAAAAGTTACAGATTCTGAATATTCAAAATAACGAAGTTAATTACATTCAGTATGTATTGCTATCTACATCAGCAAGCTTGATCAGTGAATTGAAAGGGTTTTACCATTTTGTTTATTGTATACGATATTTTGGCATAAGAGATCGTTATGGCAGTAAACGATGGGCGCATCATGCTTGAGTAAGACATCCTGAAGCATTTTTACCTCTTCGATTAGTGCACTCTTGTTGGGACACTGCGTTTTAAACCTAGGATGTCAATATTTTAAGTTAGGTTAAGCAAATCAAATAAATAGAAGGAATCGAATATTACTATTTCGTACAGTATACTGTAATTGTACGAGATAATTGTCGTATTTATCTACCGTCTACAAAGTCATCACAACGTTATCAAAAGCAATCTACGGTCTATCTAGCAGTTGTTTTTCAAACTTATATAGTACAGTGCCATGCTATGATATAACTGCTGTCTACTACTATAAATGACTACTCACTAGAGGCGGTATAACTGCAGTATACACTGTATACAGTCACAGAAGTAGATTTTCAGCAATAAATAGCACTGAAAACTGCCAAAATGGAGCATGAATTGCCAAGAAAGTTCTTGTATCATGCCCAAATTGTCAAGACGTTGTCGAACGTTATAGTTCATGACTGATTGTGCTTTCAGTCTAACTAATAGGCCGACATTGAATTAATAGTACTTGCACTAAACCCATACTACGTATTGCGTATTTATAGTCAGATTAATTAGACTAAAACGGACTATGATATCATTTTTTTAATTTATATTTACGTTGGAATAAAGTATCGTCAGGATGTTTCGAATGTGCTAACAATCTTAGATTTTACTCTATTCTGTTGCAGTGCAGCCCGCAAAATAGCTTAATAGATTGATTGTAGAAAGTTACTAAGTGATATCGAAAATGTACGATGGACACTGTATGCGCGAGATTGTAGGTTAACTGGAATCTCAAGATTGTGTTAAGCGCATATCTGTGCTAAATTGTTACAGTAAATATTGTAGCTTTGATTAGGAATGTCTTATTAAGATGACCTAGTCAGTAATTATAGATCTAACCAGTTTATATAATAAAGTAAAGATTATAAGTTATCGAATTTCGATCATTTCTAATTTTAAGACATTTTATCACAACGGTAAACTGAATACTGTAGTATACAAATGTTGTGTGGTTAACTCAATCATGCCCTACCATTTTATCCTACATCTGTTACTTTTAACGCTGGATCACATCAGTCATATACGTATAATTGGCAGTACTGTAGAGTACTTACTTTTGATTCTTGATTGGATCATCAAACGATTGAGGGACCAATGATAAGAATTTCTCCAAAGTATCAAATAATACAGGTTGGATGTCTTGATCTATGGTCGATATGTTGTGAATTTTGGCTACCTCTTTAGCGGTGAGCTGATAAACAGCAGCATCGGACATTTGCTGCCACTGTAATGGTTGGCCAACGACGAATCCATAACACAGACCGTTATTGAAAATAGCGTACAATGGAGGAGCACAACCAGCATTATGTAATAGGAGCATATTATCAATTTCCTTTTGGCGATCAATGAATAATTCGGTCGATTGTCCATACACGCGAATTAATAGCATTTGATAAGATGTATTACTTTGCAAATTATATCCAATAATTTTATTGGTAATACCAGCAGTAAAAGGTTTAATTAGGATGTTTTCATCTTTCCACTGGGGCCGAACTTGATGGATGATTTTCAACCCGCTTTCTTCAACATTATTAATATCGACGGTTAGATCGATTCGTACAGGAATTATTGCGTTTTCTCCCATTGGATAGAGGCCAAGTTGGAGGGCACTAGTAAGATGAAAAAGTTTCAACGGCCAACGCAATAACCAGCTGTACTTATACCTATCGATGGTGTGGTTTATATAAAACTGTATACATATACGACTAATCTGCAGCTAGGATTAGGGGCGTAGCTTACTATTATAAAACCGATATTGTACAATATACGCTATAGTAGTGTTTAGATTACATTAGTTTACATACTGTCTACGAGCAAATCAGTACTTTCCGAAGGTAGAAATCAGTGCTCAAGATCTCTCTACTGATGTCTACCATTAAGACTGAACTGGAACAGAGGTTAGACCAGTTTTGTCCAATGGTAGAAATTAGTGCTCAAGATCTCTCTACTGATGTCTGCCTTTAAGACTGAACTGGAACAGAGGTTAAACCAGTTTTGTCCAAAGGTAGAAATTAGTGCTCAAGATCTCTCTACTGATGTCTGCCATTAAGATTGAACTGGAGCAGAGATTAGACCAGTATTGTCCAAAGGTAGAAATCAGTGCTCAAGATCTCTCTACTTAAGTCTGTTATTAAAACTGAACTGGAACAGAGCTTAATCATTACCAATATCATTGTTGACAGGCCTGGCTACTATAAAATAGTCATGAAATTTTTATAATTGTCAACGATAAACTAACTCCATAATAACTCGAGCCAATACTGTAATCGCGTTCAGGTTAAAGAAATAAATTACAGTACTCCGCTACAGGCTTCTTTACTTGGAAAGATCGGACCTTAAGCAGATAGAAGGAACTTTGCATCGAGGCTAGAAAGCACCTTGATGCTTTCTGCACTATCATCTATCAATATATAGGCCATTTCACTGCCGTCATGCAACAATGATTTAGAATCAATTCGTAGAAAATTTTAGCGAAATGGAGTGATGTTATTACTGTATTACGTGCACAATGCAGTTGCTTGCTCTCTACCTCGTTGTCTATCGGCGAATGTATGCTATTTCACTGCAGCAATACTGCACAGTATTCAGAGGTAACTTTGAGCTAGACCGTAGGATATCTAACTGCAAGCTTCCATTTTACTAAATAGAAGTATTCTAGCCAAATGTAGCTAGTGAAGGTTTTATGCTAACGAAGTAGCCCATTGCCGATTCTACAAGAAAGCTCAAGTTTATCAGCTTTCCTTCCAGTTGTCCGTGCTTTCGGATTGCTGAAGACACTACAGTGTACAGTACACAAATGTACTGTAAAATGGACTTATTATACAGTAGTCGATGTTGCTCATTTCTACTCATAGCATTCCCTATAATTTCTACACTGAAACCGTGAACTGTACTGTACGCCTTACAGTGTACAGTGTACAGTACAAAAACCAGCCAATCAGCTAATCGGTGGATACTGTCTATCAGTGTACTGTACAATGTATCATTTCAGAGAGACGTTTCAGTTGAAATGACCAGCAAAATAGTCGGCCCCCATTTTTACTCTATGGAGCGACTACTTTCTATCCGTCCTTCTGTCTTCATCCAGATGACTGGCTAACTGCAATACAGTTAGTACTGCAGTGTTCTGTGCTAGCCAAACCTCTATACAGTTTTGTAGGAAGTTTACGACACTCGACTGTCGGCAATAGCCGTAAGCAAAAATTGCCCGGGTAAAATATTTTTTCAAAGCAAATTCCATCTTACCTTGGTCCGCCTTTCCTCCTTGTCTATTAACGCTTTCGATACTAATCACAACAAGAGCCTGAAGGAAAATAACTCAGTACAGCCGTTGATTGAGGACATTATCCTTGCGAAAATTGAATATCTTGTATTGGCAATAAAAGTTGGATCACGTCTGTCTTCTCTTTGAAGAAAGAAGCAAAACAAAAATGCCGCGCGAAATTATTACCTTACAGCTTGGCCAATGTGGCAATCAAAGTAAGGAATGACACACTAATACAATGTCTTGATGGATATATGACTGTTAATAACTGCCATTCTTAAAATGCTTGTATAAGATCGATCAATTTAGTTCAAGTAGTAGTTGATAATTGATTGTCTTTGAATTGGGTCTATTCTGTGCTTGTAACACTTTGTAATGGATTAATACTGTGTAGTTGGTATGGAATTTTGGAAGAGGTTATGCGTTGAACATGGCATCAATTCTGGTAAGGAAATCGACTTGATAGAGGAGTCAATATGCTCATGTTGAAATGATTGTTATGCATGGCAATAGTCTAATTAGTATGTCACTAATCGTGATAGCGACGATATCAATAGGCTAAATAAGGCTTAGTTTTAACTTGAATGACTTTTAGAGGGAATGCTTGAAGATTTTGCTACCGAAGGAACGGACAGGAAAGATGTCTTTTTCTATCAGGTAAGCCATGGTACATGCTATGACCAACCTGTTATATGCAATGTGGCAATATCGAATTAGGATTACCTTTTCTATCATAGGCGGACGATGAACATTATATTCCTCGTGCAGTTTTGCTTGATTTAGAACCTCGCGTAAGTGCAATAGCTGAGAGTCTGCAGACACTGCTATTAGCTTAGGATTCCTATTTGATGATAGTATAATTATTCATCATAACGCAAAGTCTTCTGCCAATGATTATGACAATGACCTAACATGGACATAAAAGGTGAAAGAGTTCTACTAAAATCCCCATTTAGGTCATCAACATGATCTTAAATTCACCATATGCTAACTTATACAACCCTGAAAATATCTACATGTCCAAACATGGTGGTGGAGCTGGTAATAACTGGGCTAGTGGTTATTGTCAGGTACTATTGTTATTTCTTATTATTGTACGTTATCCAGTCAATTTTATTAATACTGGTAAAGTTTTTAGTCTTTTATGATCTAGCTACGAATGGTACTGCAAATCTGCATGTTATACATGTCGCATAAAAAGGCGAAACTCAATACTATGCCTGTTAAAAAAATTTTTAGGCCGAGAGATTGCATGAAGAAGTATTCGATATCATTGATAGAGAGGCTGAAGGGAGCGACAGCCTAGAGGGATTTGTACTATGCCACTCCATTGCAGGCGGAACCGGCTCTGGTATGGGATCATATATGTTGGAAAAACTGAACGACAGGTATGCCAACACTACAACAATCTAAATAACAGTTTAATTTATGAGCAGTTCTAATATAATTTTTCCGTCTGTAGAAATAGTAACGATTCCTGATGCCTTTTTACAATCACTAACTTTTTAAATAAATAACTTAAAATGACTGCTAAATGTATTCTAGATTTCCAAAGAAGTTGATACAGACCTACTCAGTCTTCCCCAATCAGGTAACAACAAAGGATTGTACTCACATGGATAAGCATTTGTAGAGTAAACCTTTTTAATTTCCCATTACGAACGGTATTTGTTTAAGTAGACCTTTAATCCACAATTGCTTGAGATTATGATATGCACTTATAATACCTTTTAGGACGAAATAAGTGACGTTGTTGTGCAACCGTACAATTCAATTTTAACGTTAAAAAGATTAACCATGAATGCAGATTGTGTGGTAAGAATATTTCTGTCAATCGTATGAAACATTAGAAACCCCTAATACCTCAGAGTCATAATAGTAAGAGCAAACGAAGGTATACCTTTTTCTCAGACATGTGCTTCGATAACTACTTAATTTATAGGTGGTCCTTGATAATACCGCTTTAAATAGAATTGCAGCAGACAGACTTCGAATGCAGAATCCAAGTTTTTCGCAAGTTAATCAGCTGGTAAAATCTTGCCAACACTTTCAGTACTGCTTCCAGTTATTATTTACCAAATTTAAAGTGATACTGTAACGCCACTGATCAGTTGCACTGTTTATCATAAATTAGGTATCGACTATCATGTCTGTCAGCACCGCCACATTGCGTTATCCTGGTAAAGATTATTTGTGAAATCTACTTGAAATCGATTGCACTGATTGTATCAAATTGATTCGTAAATTTTACTTTATTACTAGGTTATATGAATAACGATTTAATTGGTTTAGTAGCATCTCTTGTGCCTACACCCAGGCTTCATTTTCTGATGACTGGGTATACTCCATTAACAACTGATCAGCAGGTATATACTAAATGATCGACATCGTATCAAGAATTTTGTCACAATTCTTATTGATTGAAAGCGACCTAGAGAAATTTTTCTCTAACTTTGTGAATGATAATACTTTAACAGGTTGCCAACGTGCGCAAAACTACAGTGTTGGATGTAATGAGAAGACTATTGCAGGTATATTATATATATAGTATTATTATGCTCTTATACAACCGCTTGACATATTGAAAATATAATACTTTATCAGCCAAAAAATGTAATGGTTTCAACGCCTAGAGATCGGAAACACAATCATTGTTATATCTCCATCCTGAATATTATACAAGGCGAAGTCGATCCCACGCAGGTATTTCATCTAGGCTAATGAAATTATTTCCCTTGCATAACTTATGCGTAAATCCTTTTATTACATAACTCTTCCGGTTCTATTGACTGTGTAGGTGCACAAGAGTTTGCAACGGATACGCGAAAGAAAATTAGCTCAATTTATTCCATGGGGACCTGCTAGCATACAGGTAGAGTAACTTAATTTACAAATTGTTACTTAGAGGTACAACACAGTCTGCCGAAGATATTCTTCGGTAGAGGCATCTCATGTTCATCATCTGATTCTAACGTTATTTTAGGTTGCGCTTTCAAGAAAATCTCCCTATCTCCAGACTACACATCGCGTGAGTGGATTAATGATGGCTAATCACACTGGAATTTCTTCAGTAAGTGAGCTAATAATTAATACTGGTAATGAATTTTAAAAATGTACTAATTTAAATAACTGGATTGCTAGCTATTTGACAGTACATGTAGACAGTATGACAAATTAAGAAAGAGAGAGGCATTCTTAGAACAATTCCGAAAAGAATCTATGTTTGAAGAAAATTTAGATGAATTAGACAATTCAAGGTGAAAATCTTGAACCATGAAACCTTTACAATACGTATATTAGAGTTGTAACTATTGCGTAGTTTCCTATGTTCGAAATATGTCAAGTCACCGACAATAAATTTTTACTAAATTTATTGTAATACTTGATAATCCTTGTAGAGAAATCGTTCAGCAGCTGATTGATGAGTATCATGCCGCAACTGAACCTTCGTATTTATCCTGGACGGCAACGAAAAAGGTATAGTCCCTGAATAATTTGGGATTTTTTTGGATACCATTTGCAAACATCGCCTAGACAGTTTCTGACGGTTTTTCTTTAACGGAATAGTAATTCATCTCACTGGAACTGTATCAAGATAAACCGTTAACTTAATAATATTTAGTCTCATTTGACCTACTTAAGGTAAATTATTCGGTATGTATAACAACATCTTGACAATTTTATTGCAACATCTGTCTCTGTGAAGTTTACAACGTTGTTATTTTAACAAGAGTGCTTTGAAGTCAATTTGTGCATAGCTGCAGTATCTACAGTGTACATAATATATTTTACTATACTGTTCGACTAAGATGTACGCTTACGAAAGTATTTTTAATAAATATGTATGATTACTATGGTGTAAGCGTACTTAATTTACTGTAATTCCTATTTCGTAAAATGGGCATTCATCGACTGTCTTAACATTAAATCAATTATTGCAGATATTTTACTTATTAATAAATAACATAAGTAAAAATGACTTTAAAAATATAATAACGTTGGTCGTAGAAGCCTAGTCTAGTATTTTAAGTCTTTGCAAATGTACATCCTCGAACGGCAATCTTCATAGCAATCCATCGATGCCATGTTTTCGGGATAAATCGTAAATATTTCGCTGTTACTGTTTGATAAACACAATTGTTCTTGATTTCATATGGATTGCTATTTCCGTTGAATAACTATTAATTAAAAATATTGTTCCGTAAATTGTCTGATAATTTTTAGTAATGGTAAAGGTTATAAAAGTCATTAGTGCCTTATCTAGATTGTTTAGTATATGAAATGCTCTGATTTTATCGACACTAAAATCTTTGTAATAAAGCTCTAGCAGAGATGATCAAGTTTACTTTAATGTCTTGATTCTTGTCTCTATAATATCGCCAGTCTTGCCCGTTAATACTATAAGCCAAGTTATACGTTTCTACCCAGTAGGATAGCGATGGGAATAATCCATTCTTACCCATCGTCTCAACAGATGTAACGATATAGTTATCCGGTACAACAATTTGTAGAAATTGCTGATGCTTAGTTTCTGCAGCACACCACGATTGATGATGAGGCGACTGATATAGTAAAGCATTGTTGGGTTGACAGGTCGATTGATGAATATAACTGGAGCTGGTTATTAACGTCGAGTTTAAAGGTATCACACAATTATTACAGCCAGTTTCATCTGTAGACCAAATATTAATACGGTAGTAAAGTCAATGGATGAATTTTAGAATAGCAAAGTCAATCCCAATATAACTTACTTTGACAAGAAAACAGACCACAGATTTTCTTCCTCGTCAAGAGGCAGCGTGATCTATTTTGTGCGGCATTGGTGCTATCCAAGCAATCTCTTTTATAAGAGATAATGTCATTGCTACAAGTGTTATTACAGACTGCTTGTGATGGTTGTTTTGAGTGAACAGTAGTAGCTATAATATTTTAATGATAGTAAAATTGCTTAATCAAACATTATATTCAATATTAGTCATTATACAGTACAGTAATTCTAGCTGAATCTATTAACCTAATAACAGCTGGTTATTGTAATTTAACTGAAATTTAGTTACGCTATGCTAGTCTTATCCCTCAATCGTAACATCAGCTGTAGTAATTTCTAGATAAATTGATGGATAAGGATTGTCGTGTGAATATAGCTATTAAATAGCACGTTTCTATCCATTGTTCACTCAGTTCATTCTTACATTTTATCTGGTAGATATCCATATTACAGTAAAAGACGTCGGTATTAATTACAACTAATATATACTCGTATAGCTAGATTAGTACTGTAGTAATAGTATATTCCAGATAATAGTCTGTAGTAAGAAGTAGCACTATTAGAAGAGACATGTACTAATTGCTATATGAGTTTAATGGGAATATTCTATTAATATCACGATAATTTGAAATACCATTGCAAGATTTAGTTGCTGTACAATTTCTTCTTTCGTGAGAAGCTCCGTCACATTTCTTAGTATCTGTTTGTCCAGAAAAATTCTGACATTTTCGGTAGCGTTCCTGAGTTCCACGACCACATTTTACGTTACATGCAGACCAGGTTGACCATGTAGTGAATTCACTTATTTTCTCTAAAGGTATTTACATATATTAGAGCAATTTAAATACTACTCGAGTAAATTTACATTATGGCTATTAGTAAATAACATAAAGATACGAAATTTACGGAGATGTCTGCTAAAATGGCTGCTTACTTAATAGCTGACTTTAAATTAAGTAAGTCCTTATTATAGCAAGTATCAACATATATTTCGTACTCGAGTGATTAATTCATATATTATGAAAGAATTATCGTCTATGGACTACTTGGGCATGGTTGTTGTTGGCAATTGCGAATTTCTCCAACAACTCCTAGACAATCATATTTATGAGGTTGAAATTGTGGTGGATGAACGCAACTTCGGCGACGAAATTTGACGCCATGACCGCAGGTAGTACTACAAGATGACCACGTAGACCAATCAGTATAGTACTCATCATTAGGATCTATAATTTGGATATTGTAGACGTTATTTTTTTTTTTTTTTGACTATATATTAGCAGTTTAGCATATATTAAAGTTACCAATTGAAAATAGAAATAATATAAATGTATAGGATACCGAAAAATTTCTGTTGTCAGAGTTTTACTGTAGGTTTAAAAGCATATATACTCATATACGTTAAAGCAATAATGCCATCTTGTATCCAAGGTAAGAGCTGCATCTAACTTAATAAACGTGATATATCCAATATCAATCGTAGATATCGGTATAAGGACTAAGGCATTTTTACGTAAAATGGAAGGAAATCACCGTTTGGCGTGGTAGAAATAAATGTATAAAAGGAAGGAAATGAGGCAACATTTTCCATTGAACTATACAAGAAAAGTTGCGTTGATTTGTTGAATCAGGCTAATCCTTATCCGATAGGTCTCGTAGCTTGAGAGTACAAAAACTAAGCTTATAGCGACCTAGCTTCAAGGTTTAAATTCAACAATCAACTATTTCATTTACGCATAGTGAGCTATTTTGGGCAAGAAATCCGGTACTTGTTAATACGCGTATCATGCATAATTAAAATTAATGTATCGTTTTGATATATAGATTATATCAAACATCAGATATCATTTAAGAATACTATTCATTTGTCAATGGATACATGATCCGTTGCTATTTTATTTATAGCATCATAAAAGATGAGCTGATACAGTATCGACTGTTTTATATAGTGCTTACAGACTTCGGGATGATAATATATTTTCTGTCGTAAAACTTGCAATAATTTTCTCTATTAATACAAAAAGCCAATTAAAGTCCCTGAAAGGTTGGATATCATTCTATTCTTTAACTATAGATGTCCGGCACATAAAGCTATATATACTACGTACGATATACTACGGCACTTGTATCTAAAATATTTATCAACACTTCTACCTTGTTGGGCATTCTTGGCATTGCGTTCGTGTATAAAATCTGAATTGAAGTAAAACTTTGAGCCTGATGATAATTTCAATGCTATGATCGATACAATAATAACTGCTAGAAATTTCATTTCATTCAAATAGTACAGTTTAGAAATGTGTAGTGGTTATACACGTAAATTGCTTTTTTCCTGAAATGGTACCAATCGTCGAATCCAGAATCCTATTCCTATCCGATTATCGTATAACTATACAGCTTAATAAGAACACGTACGCGCGATGGCTAGAAATTGTTATCGCATCGGAATTACTACAGTAGTCATGCCAGCTTGAATTCTAGATTGCTAATTATAAAAATACTCTCATCAGCAACTAGGGCCCCAACATTTATTTATTTATCTACTTGCTACATTTACAGTACTAATTGATTGCACATTACTTCCCAATACGTAACGTATAGCATAATTAATCCATGATCGTGCAGATTACGTGATCGATATAATAACTTTATTGTTTGTTATATTAATGACTGGGTAAGTGACAGTTGATTTTAAGATTTGTTTTCCATGCTTTTTCGGGGAGGGGAAGTTCAAACTGTTCATCTTAGTATTTTATTACTACGATAGTAACACGATTCGTATAACCCTTGTACTTCGCAGTGCACTGACAGAGGAGGGTCGAGAGCTTAATAAAGCATAAGAGCTTGATATGGAAATTGTGATACTGTAGTTAGGTCTGGATAAATTCCATCAAGGTGAGGATAATAACGTCTTCAATGACAGAGGACCAGACTGTATCCTGATATTTCCCTCTTTCCATTACAAGTCTATCTTCAACTCTTTCTATGGGTATCCTTGAACTGTAATATGATCGTAGGGCTAAGTAAAGGAACCTGTCCAAACTGTATTAATTATCAATGGGAATTATTCACTACTATAGCAATGTAAATCCTTTTGGTGAGTCAGTTTAAAGTCATTTTAGTTCAATTTTTTTAACCCAAGGGTAGATGAACTTATAAACAACCAAATCAATCGTTTCAGTAAGGGCTACGAAAGAGAGATTGTGTACGCTGCAGCAAGGACTACTAGGTATTACTAGTAGTCCATGGCTACAGCACTGTGTCTTCGTGGATTTTCATATGACTGTAGTAAAAGTAACTGCATGTTGAATTCAACGCATTGCTGGAATTCGCATAGGCATACTAGGGCATCGTTACAAGAAATAAGAAATGTTTGCTCATAGGCCTGACTCCCAGGATTTTCCTCGCTATCTTTTGCTTGAGTGAAAGCTATAATGCGTACTGGCTGGAAGACGCCTTTTCAGTCCGGAAGATGCAATGTTGGTGGACTACACATTTGCTTCCTGCAATGGTCAAAGCCTGCTATTTTTTATCTTTATGCAATGCCAGATTGCACCATTCTCCTAGCTCTCTTTTATTTGATTGAAAGCTATAAAACGTACTGGCTGGAAAACGCCTTTCCGGTCGGAAAGATACACTGTTCTGGACTACACACTGGCTTCCTGCAATGGTCAAAGCCTGAGATCTTTTTTAACTTTGTGCAATGCTTGATTCCAAGATTCTGCTCTGCCAGCTCTCTTTTATTAGATTGGAAGACGACTTTTCGGTCCGGAAGATGCACTATTGCTAAAAGTACACATTCGCTTCCTGGAATAGTCAAAACATGACATTTTAACTTTGTGCAATGCTTGATTCCACGATTCTGTTCTGCCAGCTCTCTTTTATTGGATTGGAAGATGACTTTTTGGTCCAGAAGATGCACTATTGCTAAAGTACGCATTTGCTTCCTGGAATAGTCAAAACATAACATTTTAACTTTGTGCTATGCTTGATTCCACGATTCTGCTCTGCCAGCTCTCTTTTATTGGATTGGAAGACGACTTTTCGGTCCAGAAGATGCACTATTGCTAAAGTACGCATCTGCTTCCTGGAATAGTCAAAACATAACATTTTAACTTTGTGCTATGCTTGAATCCACGATTCTGCTCTGCCAGCTCTCTTTTATTGGTTGGAAGACGACTTTTCGGTCCAGAAGATTACTATTGCTAAAGTACGCATTTGCTTCCTGGAATAGTCAAAACATGACATTTTAACTTTATGCAATTCTACAGTATTGCAAATTGTCCAATTTATGTAAAACACCTTCCATTAATTAATTATATTACTACCTGTATTTTACCTTCTCCTGCACTGATTGCCATCCCTAGATTGCACCCATTGGTTAAGTGCCCATACGCAGCCATGATAGTGCAGTTAGCAGTGCAGGCTGCGCAGCAGTCTCTAGGTGGGCGTGGAGTATTGTACAGTGTACAGTGTACAGTACATAGATCACGTTAATCTTACTGCTGTACAGTACAGTACAGTGTGGACGCGCTAATTTCTATGATTTTGGTGCAAACAGATGGATTAAATTTTTTTTTTTTTTTGGACAAATTTTATATCAGTCTATAGAAAAAGAGTTAATTACACGAATCTGTCATCAAAATTTACGTACGACGTTTACTTTCATCGTAATTATTAATTAAAGTACGCGAGACGCTACAGTACAAAGTAAAAATGAAGGTTTTGTACACTGCCGTTTTTCTGACTAGTGACATTTGTTTTGCTTCCAATTGATTTTATATCGAGGCTATACGCCCAATTCATCAGCTCAACGACCGGTATTAATCGACTCCTAACCGCATTGCATACAACTTACCTCCTGCCAAGCGTTGACAAAAGTAATGTCAGCAGCCCGCGTCTATACTGTACTGTACTGTACACTCTTAGTGTACAGTACAGTGTACAGTGTACAGTGTACAGTACAGTACAGTACTGTAACCACAGCATTGGTGCATAGCAATATCATAGCTGATCGTAGACAGTTGCAAATCCTTGCAATATTGATCAACTCTAAATCAATCTTGTGCTTGTCTTTTGCTTTTTCAATCCTTGACTGTGTAAATGGTCATTACAAATCTTAGTATTAACCCTTAGTGGATGATGAAGTGAAAGATCTACGTTACAGTGACAGAAAAATAGGAAAGAAAGGAACTTATTGATGATGGGATATTGCTAAAATTAGTAACAGCAATCTTGATGCGACAGCGTCCAAGATCCAAGTAGTACAGTAGGTGCATTATCAACGCGATTGCCTGGATAACAATATGGTCTTTAGTATCATCCATTGTAAATGGAAGGCTGTCCAACTTTCATGATCCATTTTACTTCAAGTTAAGGTATTCATGGGCTTCCATTGGTATTAATAATCATTCGATCGATCCAATTCAATCCAATTGATATCAATTCGTGGGCAGAGAATTGATGACTTTGTAATCGTCTGTACTACTGTACTTCCAAAGTGGGTTTGACATTAGTCTTTAGCTGCATACAAAATGTCCATCAAAAGAATCTTATTACTTTTCCAAGCAATTAATTTTTTCGTTCTTTTATGCCTAACAAGTTACATCTATTATACCTCCAAGAGATCAACAACTCAATCTGTTCAAGAATATCAAAATTTACAAAATCTAAGGCATAACAATATCACTATTATATTACTTTGGACAGGCTGGTTTTATGGTGACTGGCCTGTACCTCTTGGTGGTCATCAATGTGACAGTCTTAGTAAACATTGCTATTTTACTATCGAAAGTAAGTACTATTCAACTGCTGATGCTGTTGTATTCCACGGCTCTGATTTGTATAGAATGGAGGATGCTGCTTTACCCAATCAAACCAGTAAACCACGACATCAACGCTGGGTATATTACACGATGGAAAATCCACCCATTAGTGCCTATCTAGGTGTACAAGCCAAGGAAAGGGATGAAAATAAATTTGATTGGATTATGAGCTATGCTAAAGATGCCGATGTTTATGTACCTTATGGGCAGATTATCAAAGGTCGTTATGGCAATGGTTACGATTCTAATATCAATTACGCCCAAGGTAGACCCAAGATGGTAGCCATGGTCGCAAGTCGTTGTTATCCATCTCGTATGAAAATGGTGGCAGCATTGCAACATTATGTCGACGTTGATGTCTATGGTGAATGTGGAACAAAATGTTCACGCAATCGACAATGTTGGAATCATCTCAAACAAAATTACAAGTTCTACCTAAGCTTTGAAAACGAAGTATGCAAAGATTATATTACGGAAAAGTTGTACAATAATGCATTTGCAAATTATCTGATACCTATTGTCATCAGTGGTGCTAATTATTCCGATATCAAGGTTGTTCCACCGCATTCTGTCATCGATGCTTTACAATTTAAAAATGTTGAAGAATTAGCACGTTACATTAAAATTGTAGCCGAAGATAATAAATTATATAATTCATACTTTCAATGGAGAAATCGTTACGACATCAAATTTATAAGAATGAGAGACACTTTGTGTACGCTATGCAAGAAAATTTCGACCAAACCACTACGAAAGCCTTCTCGCCCTTATAGCAATTTACGCTACATATTAGGTAACCACGATGGCAATTGTAAAAAATTTCCGGAACCTTCTAGATTAAATGCCGTAAAGCCTAACTTTACATATTTCCAGTAAACCATTTGTCCTGTATTACTGTCCAATGTGAGAACATAAAGATTGAAAGTATCGCATTTGACTCGATATGCTCATTGGTATCATGGTCTGCATCGCTGGCAAATACTATAATATAATTGAACCAAGGAATTGATTGAAAATTACAGTAGATGCTAACGGTTGCTTGCCTTTATCAACGTACATAATATGTCAACAGTGTCACTCTGATTAGCTGAATTTCTGTATTTCGAATCCTTACATACATTACTTAATCAATGAAATTTTAGACAATTATTTTGCATATTTTTATAATACGTATCTTCACATTTATTAGCACGCGAAATGTATGATTTGGTGGATAAATTATGAATTAATCAGATATACATAGGAGATTTTGTCAAGAGCTTTGAGCATGATTACAAAAGTTTTATTAAAGTATGTGCAGATAGCCTACTATATTTGATGGCCAGTGTTAACTCGAATCTTCATGCTATGGTTTTGTATATTTTTCTTATGCACAGAGTACTTTTTCGATAGTAGTTATGCCGAAAGAAATTTTAGTATAAATGCTTACTATACTGTTGTAGCTAATATCTTTTAGATATCATCCGAGCGTGATATATTTTACGGTGTCGAGTTATGGATTTGCTATTTATGCAAGTCGATTAAAATTGTTTCAGTATATTTATCAGCAACTTGAAGCCTCTCTTTTAAGCCTAATTTAAGTCTGTATACGCCTACGTATATTGCAAATAAAGTCCAAATGGTTACAAATAGTCTTCAATAAGCTGTCAACTTCTCGAAAGCCTGCTTAAAAAGTTATAGAATTGCAATATCCACTATTTACAGCCCGATCTCGATATTTTCTTAGTTTTATGTTTTGCCCAGGCATTGATAGAACTGAAATACTGTTTCACCAGCATTTAAGCATCCTTTATTGCGTGACGTAATAGCGTCGCTTATGATATCCTGGAAAAATTTTTTATGCAGTATGTTATATGTTGTTTTTAGTGCAAAGACTAAATTATCTCTTGAATAGAGTCGGCACCTCGATCTTATTTTAATTTAGGAGCTTGAACGACGATATTCAATAAGCAAAAGCTGAAATAATTACACAATAATTGACTAAAGCTATAGCTGTTCGCTTATTTTATTCATAAATTACGCTTTTAAAATGAAGTAGTCCATTTTACATGTTCATTCAATAAACCCACTGTTAATATGCATATAAAATTTGCTGTATACGGTAGATGAAATGTACAGTTTGTACACTAATCTAGGCTAATACAACTGTACTTAGTTACTCAAGAGACACGAATCAATAACGACGTCAATACTAGAAATATTGAAAAATTACATTTTAATGACAATTAAAATTGCTCTAACAATAAATTTTGTACTTGTATTTTCTCGCTATTGGGATAAAAAAATCGATTGATGTGAGTGATATGGCTTACTTTAACGCAAGCGAAGCCTAAAATTTCACTTTGACATACATTACCAGATATAGCACGGGAAAGATCTAGATATTGACCTAGAAATACCCATTGAATAAAGCTATTAAAATTTAATTTAATATGCCGGTATGTAACTTAACGTAACTTCTTATAATGTGTTAAACCTCATTTATGCGTATATCGAGTTTACAACGATCTAATCTCGATGTTAATTCTAGCGATATATCAACAATGTCAAAGGTAAATAATTTCATATGCTAATGCCTATTGCCACTTCCACTAAGCACTGACTAATGGATAAAGATTCTTTAATTTCTATAATTTCCATGAAATCAAATTATCACTCAAAAAGTTGTTATACGTGATGTTAAACTTTCTGTTTGAATACAAAGACTTCATTATATTAAATTTTTTCCCCTCTATCATCAAATGTAAATTATTACTGAACCATAGTCCGCAGTTAAATTTCTGCACAGTTCTCTTTAAGGTCAATAAACACTGGATTTTCCGCTATTTACGGCTGTTATTTAGCTATACCATAGTAGTTTATTATACTACAGTTTTAAGTATAGCTTCCTACGTGATATAGGTTATCTATTACCACGATAAATTGCCTATTTTTTCAGTCAGTTATATACTATTAAACGGAAATGGAAAAGACTCATTCCACTTACAAACGGACTTCACTAGCGGATCTCTTACAAGTTTGACGTATCTAGTATCACCATATGAATTAAGATATTTTTCTAGTCGCTAATTTTTGAATGTTAAATTAAGAAATTGTAGCCAAAGATTTATTTTTTTGCCGTTTGTATGATAAATATTAAAGTTACCAAAGATTTATTTTATTACCGTTCTTATGATAAATACTCTGACTCTTTCTTGAAATTAAAGTAGCCAAAGATTCGTTTTATTACCCTTTATTTGATAAATACTGTGGACTCTTTCTTGAAAATTGAAGTTGCCATAATAGCGTAACTGCATTTTCAAGCTTAAAAATCGATTACAGCACCTTTAGCTAGTTTGATTGGTGGAGAATATTTTCATTGATCTTGCTTCAAATAGAAGAACAGCACGAGTCAAAATGATCGACTGATATCACGTAGCCTTTAGAAGCACAACATTATTTTGCAATAATCTGTACTAAAAGCAAGCTGGTTTATCATCTAGTAAAGAAATTATTTGAAATCAAATATATCTTGCTCAAGGCTGAGTTTTACTACCAGAACTTCTATTGCTGCATTGGTAAAATTTCAGCTCTCCTTATCATTATATTTAGAAATGAAGCCGATTCAGTAGTTAGTTGCAAGAACGTCGTTATCTAAAGATATTTGTATTTTTAGCGAGTATTACAATAATTAAATAACTTACTGTATAAGATCAAACCTAAATCCTCCTTATTTCTTCTTAATCGGAGCTTATCTACTTTCCTATTGCGTACAATTTTTAAACATTCTAAGATAAAACGTGCAGTCAATCAAATGCTATCTTTAGTTTTTACTAGTTTGCCTTTGGAGTAAGTTTTCAATTTTAATTTTTTTCCCCCTTGATTAGCTGACATGGCACGCAGAAGATGTATACTAGTGTATCTTTTCTGTTTTTCATATCAAAATAATAGCTATTGCTAAGATTGATAAATCAATCATCACGTCATTTCCATCAGCAATAATTTAGATCCAATTTAGGTTGTTTATAGCTTCTAGATATTAAAGTTAGAGTAATTTTAGCTCATTGCTGTCTTAGTCTTTTACTTATTCTTCATGCATCATCTATTTTCGGCATCTAAGCTAATATTGAAAGCTGTGAATTGATATCTTCGCATAAGAGGAATAAAATCCTTACGATAAGCACTATTGATTAATATATATAGTCAATCTTTGCAACTACTTTGACATTCATTTTCTGGCAAAGCATCCCCTTTACAAACAAATTTGGCTTTAGCAATTGTAATTATTCAATTAAGCAAATCTATAGTATACTTACAGGTAAACGAAAACACTTACTGTGCAATAGCGACAAAATAAATCCTCCTTACATCTCCTATGAGGAAAAGAAGTACATTATTAATGACACACTAGCAGATAACACAATTTCTTAGAAAAAATTTTCATTTGTAATTAAAATAACAAATATTCTATCACGAATTCGCACTAAGTCTACTGAAAATTTATCCCTTTAGATTGTGATCGAGCTGAAAGCTGTTATACCTATATTATTTTTACTTATAAAGAAATGTTATTTCGAACTGAATAAAAATCATGGCTATTGTAAGCGCAGTTGACGATCATACACATTTCTGTGTACTGCCATGTATAATTACCGTTGCAACAGTTATAACTTATCTGTCAGTAAGAGATTTTGACATCAATCAAAATCGACAATATAGACATAGACTATGATGGCGACTTTATAAATTGCAAAGATGTTTCTTCTAGAGGCATTTGAAATTTTTTATTTAACTTGATATCCTTACAGACAATGCGTTAAATAAAAGTGAAATTGCATTATTGTCAGCAATCACGACTCGAGCATTATTTTCCACAATTCTATCGCGATTTAAGCATAACAATTTAGTCCAGACAATGCAATTTCAGAAATCAGTTGGCGTCTGAAATCTGCGCTTCTAAAGTCACAACCTTTATTCATGAGAAAACAGAAGCGACATCAATCAAATGTTGATAAATTTATGACGCATGAAATATTGATGAAGATAATTGTAGTTTATTTTCGATAGTATTAGTAATCAATTCCTTAGGTTACAATTAAAGAACGATTTGTAGCTCATGTTTTCATTTTGAGATTATTATGAATTTTCAAAAGTCGTTTACTGATAATTTTGATCTAGTATCAATTTAGCACCATACTATGTAAAATAATTAAAATCGCCTGACTTTTCGATTATTGCTGCTTTAATATAACACTGGCCTTAACCAATGGAGGAGTATTCACAGCTATGACGGCAATAATGATTGGAAAAACATATCTGCTATTTATCTTAAATTTTAATACAGCGAAATAATAACTATATTGTAATTTATGTGANAGATGTAAACTAAGCTATCCTTTTCATTGGAAGTAAGATTTTAGCTAAAAAATTAGATATAACAATTGTAT